GTATATATATATATATATATATATATATATATATATATATATATATATATATATATGTGTGAGGAAAAGAAGCAGGTAGAGATCGAGAAATTGAAGGGGTGCGGAGAGCTGTCACTGACCTTCGAAGCTGACGAGGCGGTAGAAATGGCCGACGAGGAGGGTGTCTTCTGGGCGGAGTAGCTTAAGGTACCTCACCGAGTTCCCGCTGCCGCCACGGCTGCTGCTACGACGGTCGGAGGAGCTGGTGGAGGAGGAGGAGGAGGAGGAGCTAGAATGGGTGACGGTGGTGATGACGGCGACGTAGTGGCCGGGGTTTGATGCCATGACCTGGCTGGCGGAGAGGGGCCAGTAGGCCGTCTCCAGCCTCCCATCGGGGTGCTGGATCACCGCCGCTGCCGACTCCGACGCCTGGCAGTTCCCCATGGCCGATCGATGTCCACTCTCTTTCACCCGAGGTTTTGGCGAGGGGAGGCATATAAAGCGTTTGTTGGGTGGAGCAATTAGAAAGGCGAGGGAGGAGAAACGTAAAAGAAAGAAAGAATAGAATGGTCAACCAGGAGGGTCCAACCGCATATTCTCGGCCTAACTAAACGACCCACGACGGCTTCGATCGACGTGTACGCGTCGTTTAACGTTGTTATATATCACGTTTAAAGCAGTAGAAACCTTCTTTCTTTGTTGACCAGCGTTCAGCTGCTGTTTCCTGCGTAAAACAGTGGAAGGAAGCAAGAACAAGAGTGTGACCTTGGTCTTGCCATATTGGATAATTGACTCGTCTAACAAGGATCGCGCCATGGCCAAGTCCTTGTGCATCAGATCATGACACAATAACGTATTTTTTGATAATTTGTGAGCGAGAATAATGCTTGACTAGTGAAGCAAGAACGTAATGGCACAATTCCTACGAGCACTTCGGGTTGGCCTCTTTAATTTGTTCTTCTTGCGACAACTAAGATGAAGAAGCATACAGATCGGTCAAATGGAGGAGGAGTTCCGTGAGGTAGCAGAACTCGTCATGAAGCAGGTCAGCCCATATCTCACTGAAACCAGCATTTGCGCGGCTCAGTGCAGTGTGTCGCCGTCTGGTGCAAAGAAGACAATACGGTGGAACAGTAATACTAAAATAATCTTTAATTAGATTAAAATAGGTTAAATATATAAAAATTAAAATTAAAAATTTAGAAGAGAAATCCGAAAGCATGTAAGCACTATCCTAAGTATATTCCTTAGTCTCATGTAAGCGTCGCCTATGATATAATCAGAATGATTCTTCTATGAGCACGATTACAAAGAATCTACGTACAATTTCACACCAGCAAAAAAAAATAGAAACTAAATGAATTGAAGAAAATGAGAGAAATTGACAAATTTTTTCTTTTTTTCTTTCTTCCTCTCTTTCTCTATTTTTTTCCACAACTTTAGTAATATTTTATTTTATTTTATTTTTACTCACAATGTTAGATGGGAAGTGATTTATTTACAGTTAATCCCTACCGATAAGCAAGTGTCATGTGATACTGTACAAACACAATAGCAAGCACTGCAACAACACACTCACTCTTGTATGTGGCGCACACTCGCATAGCCCGTGGGTGTGAGGTGGGCATGCATGGGTGCGGGTGAGCACCATGCTTGCTCATGGCGTACCGACACGGTACATGTGCGTGGGTGAACGAAATATTAGATATTTTTGATATCAAAATATGTTTCTAAATTATTATAATAGAAACATAAGAAAAAAATTAATGTGAAAATAAAATTATGTACCTCTAGTCATTATTGTCAAAATTTTTAATAATAATTTCTTCTTGAATTTTGGTATTTCTCGGTTCAAAACTCTCGCTTTAAATAGTATAGAAAATTCTTTAGACTTGAAAGAGATGTCGAACCTAGGAACCAAAACTCTAGTTTATATAGATGTTCTCCCATCAAGAATATTTATTATCATAAACTCATAACGCTCAAAAATTAATTCAAATTTGTAACATTTGTACTAAAACAAAAATTTTAATAATATATTTAATAATAATGATTCATTTAGAATGAAAAACTAAAATATTTAAATCAAAATAAATGAAAATTTTGATTACAAATAAATGATGAACTTAATGAAAATGGTTATATTATTGTTAAATAAAATATTTAATAATAATGGTTATATTCTCCTACATGGTCCATACGTTTAGTTTAATAATTTGAATTAATCTTTATCGAACAACTTTATTAAGAAATAAATATACGAATCATGACGATAAGTCCTCTAAGAGCGAGTATTATTATTTATGTATCACGATGTATTTAGTTTCTTAATCTTATTATGGTAATATTACTTAATGAATAAACCTTATGTTTATTCTTGGTTCAATACAAATATATTTTCTCAAATTAATATGCATATAAATGAAAAAATATCACAATATATATAAGAGTTTCAATACAATTACAAAGTGGAACTAAGTCTCATTTTCTCTACATGATCCTTGAATTTCAGAGGTGGCATGCCTTTAGTCAAAGGATCAACAATCATCAATTCAGTGCTAATATGCTCAATGACTACTTTCTTTTCTTTTACATATTCTTTTATAGCTAAATACTAAATGTCGATGTGTTTACTTCGACTTCCACTTTTATTGTTTTTAGCCATAAAGACAGTAGTTGAATTATCGTAGAAATTTCTTAATGATCTAGAAATAGAATCCATGATTCTAAAACTATAAATGAAACTCTTAAGTCATATACCATATGAATTAGCCTCAAAACAGGAGACAAACTTAGCTTTCATGATAGAAGTAGCAGTCATGATCTACTTAGTGCTTCTCCAAGAAATAGCTCCACTAGCCATCATAAAAATATATCATGTTGTTGATTTATGAGAATCAACACAATTGGCGAAGTCTGAATCTGAGTAACCAATCATATCGAGATTATTTGTATGTCTATACATAAGCATGTAATCATTGGTTCCTTGTAGATACCTCATTATTTTCTTTGTAGCTCTCTAGTAGTCCATACCCGAATTACTCTGATATCGACCTAGTATCCCCATAACAAATGCAATATCAGGTCTAGTACAGACCTGAGCATATATAAATTTCCTACAGTAGAAGCATATGTGATGTTTTTCATTAATTCCATTTCAAGGTTATTCTTTGGGCATTAGTTCAAATTAAACCTATCACCTTTCAAAATGGGAGCAACACTTGTGAATAATTATTCATTTGAAATCTTTCTAAAAGTTTATTAATATAGGTTTCTTATGATAGACCTAAAATGTCTCGAGATCTATCTCTATGGATCTTAATACTAATGACATAAAATACTTCACCCATATCCTTCATGTCAAAAATTTTAGAAAGAAATTATTTTACCTTATGCAGCAAACCCATATTGGTTGTAAGCAAAATGTTATCTACGTATAAAATAAGGAAATATATTTTACTCTCACTAGCCTTTTGGTATATGTATTGATCCATTGGATTTTCAACAAATCCGAACGAAGAAATCACTTCATAGAATTTAAAATACCATTGGCGAGAGGCTTGTTTTAAACCGTATATAGACTTCTTAAGCTTACAAACCAAGTATTCACCAACACTAAAGGAGAAACCTTCATTTTGTTTCATATAAAACTATTCCTCTAGATCTCCATTAAGAAACACTATTTTTTACATCAATTTGTTGCAACTTAAGGTAAAAATGAGCAACCAATGTTAAAATGATATGAAGAGAATCTTTCTTAGATACAAGGGAAAACATCTCTGTATAATCGATTCCCTTCTTTTGAGTAAATCCCTTTGCAACAAGTCTTGCCTTATATCTCTCAATGTTGCCTAACGAATCTTTCTTAGTTTTAAAGACCCATTTGCAGCCAATAGCTTTTGCTTTATTAGGCAACTCTACAAGATTCTATACTTCATTGCTCTTCATGGAATTCATCTTTTCTTTCATAGCATCATGCCACAAATTTGATTCATTGCAACTTATGACCTATGAAAAGGTTTCAGGATCATTTTTGGCTCCAATATTATAGTAAGATTTGCTAGTCATAGGTGCCTAACAAGCCAATCACATGAGTGATGGGACGTGTAACTTCACACGCAGTCTTTTTACTTATTATATTTTAAGATTTTACCACTTTATATTGACTATTGCATATATACATATATATATTGTGATGTCCTTGGATCTGTGTAATGGGAATCAGATCATAATGAGATCATGATAATGAGACTGATTCGCCTTTAAACATAGATCCTAAATAATCCCTGTCATAGGTTACTAGAGTGGGACATCAAGATAATCGGACAGACTGGTGTGTTGTATACTCGTCCATATGATGGATGCATTTGGTCTCATAGTTGCTCGTGTAGGGATACTAGGGATACAATACAGGTGCTCATTGGGGAATGAGTTCACTAATTGATCCGCTTATGGAATGCTGGATGGTTGATGATGCCTTATTGTCAGATAACGATTCCGTAGTCCTAGTGGTGTATATGGTCCTTACTTGAGACACCAAGGATATCATGTATGAGTGCTTCACTCTTTGATACCGGACTTATAGGTTTGGATGTCCCAGATCTAGCACAGCTAGTCTTCGAGAGTGGTAGTCAACCTTACGAGGGCTATTGAGAGTCGATAGAGGATCATCCACTCTCGATGTCATGAGAGGAATGTGTTAGAA